ATCTTCCCCTATTGCGACGATTTCTCTATTGAGGACCACGAGGTGCCCCACTTGCATGAGGCGCTACGTATGCACGGTGATGACAATGGCCTGCGCCGCTGATTACCCAGCAGAGTCTGCCCATGACGTAGGCGAACTTCTATTTCCGCCGGCAAACCTCTTCTCTGCGCTCAACTGACCTGCCCAATCACGATGAAGGACAGCTCTGACCGCCTTCGCACAATCGGCTAGCGGTGGCTTACTCACCTTCTGTCCGCCGGATACGGACGCTGGTGTCGGCAATATTCTCGCCATGTCGCATGGAACAGATGCGGGAGATGTGCAGGTGAGCAAATCTTTCGCTCATGACGGCCACGCGCGCCAGATACTTAGGGCGACGGGCTGCTGTCAAGCGATTGAACGATTGAAGCTTGTTCATCGCCATTGACAGCACCCGCGTCCATCTCCCGAAAACACGGTCACGACTAGTCGTACCGTCGCGCGTTAGATCCACACGATCCACAACGGCCTCGTCGTCGGGCTGAACATTTACTATTATTGTTCCGACAGCCGAGCGCTGGCAATTTCTATCGCTTTCCAGCGCGACAGCCACTCTCACAACCTTGGTCGAGGAAAGAGGAGATTGCGATCAAGATGCAGAACGAAGACCTGGATATCCTGCGCAATGAGGCGAACGCAAGCCCTGAGCGCTTCGCAAATTGGGACCCGCACCGCCAGTTTCGCGAAGAGTACCACAGACGGCACTTGCATGACCAGACACCTGATGAGCGCCTGCGCAACATCGAAGCACACGAACGAGGAGAGCGCACCCAGAGCGAGATATCCTTCCCAACAGAAGCAGTAGCATCACCCATCAGAGAAAAGGAAGAGGAGGTTGCCTCGCCTCTCTCACGGCACAGCACATCTTCGGCTTCGACTGTTAGCTCTGCAAGCTCTGCATCCACACATAGCGCACGTCTCGAAGAAATACGCACCGCCCGCTCAACCCCCGCACGCGACCGCCGACCGACCGTCAATTCGCAGGCCTCGAGCGGCAACTACCTGACACTACATCCCACTGAACGCAACCCCGAAGCTATCCGCCGAATCGAGACACACAGAAGTCAGCATGCAGGCACAGTCGGTGCATCGCGCGTCGATTCGCGGTTATCGAGGACCCTCACACGCCGTCGTACAGAGAAGCCATTGCCGAACCTAGGAGCTGGCAAGCCTTTCCCCCCGCTGCTACCGGACAGGGAAGAATATGTAGTCGAGTTCGACGGCGTCGACGATCCGCTGCATGCGCAGAACTGGCCGATGAAGAAGAAGATTGGCATTGGTGCTATCCTAGCATTCGACGCCCTCACAGCCACCATGGGTAGCAGTATCTTCTCGGCCGCTACAGGAGCAGTATCGCAACAATACGGTGTTGCCAATGTTGTGGGCACTCTAGGAACGAGTTTGTTCGTTTTTGGATATGCCTTTGGACCTTTGGTAAGTGAACGCTGACCATAGACTGCGGTCAGATATGCTAACAACTTCTAGATGTGGGCACCTTTCTCGGAGCTGTATGGCCGAAAACCTCCCCTCATCATCGCCGCCTTTGGTTTTGCCATCTTCAGCATCGCCGTCGCCGCAGCCAAAGATATCCAGACCATCATGATATGTCGATTCTTCGCCGGTCTCTTCGGCTCCTCTCCTCTCGCTATCGTCGCCGCCGTCTTCGCTGATATGTTCGACAACAAACTCCGCGGTCTCGCCGTCGCAGTCTTCTCCGCAACCGTCTTCATGGGCCCTCTACTCGCACCCTTCATCGGAGGATTCATCACCCAGAGCGATCTTGGATGGCGGTGGACCGAATACATCAGCAGTTTTATGGGCTTTTTGTCATTCGCTCTGCTCTTCTTCTTCATGGAAGAGACATACCCGCCTGTCGTGCTGATCAACAAGGCGAGCGAGCTGAGGAGACGAACCAAGAACTGGGGTATCCACGCCAAGCAGGAGGAAATTGAAGTCGACTTCAAGGAGCTGATCGTTAAGAACGTCAGCCGACCGATGCGCATTCTCTTCACCGAGCCTATTGTACTGCTCATCACCATCTACATGAGCTTTATATGTAAGTTGGATCACCCCGTCTTGTTACAAGAACTGAGCTAACAATTCTAGATGGTTTACTCTACCTCTTCCTTACCGCATACGCCCTCGTCTTCCAAGGCGTCTACGGCTGGAGTCCCGGCATCGGCGGACTTGCCTACTTCGGCATGGTCGCTGGTGAAGTGATCGCTTTCATCATCATTGTCGTCGACAACCCACGATACATCAAAAAGCTGGAAGCCAACAACAACATTCCCGTCCCAGAATGGCGCCTACCCATCAGCATGGTCGGTGGTGTGCTCTTCGCAGCCGGTCTCTTCTGGTTCGGATGGACAGGCTACACCGGCAATGTTCACTGGATCGTCCCTGTCCTGAGCGGTCTCTTCACCGGCTTCGGAATCTTTTCCATCTTCCTCTCGCTTCTCAACTACATTGTCGACGCGTACCTTATGTTTGCTGCTTCCGCTATTGCAGCAAACACCTTTATGCGGTCCATGTTTGGTGGAGTCTTCCCACTATTCGCAACCTTCATGTTCAATGGTATGGGAATCCAATGGGCCAGTACACTGCTTGGCTGCGTGGCGCTCGTACTTGTACCGATGCCAGTGGTCTTCTATGTATTTGGTAAGAGAATCCGAGGCAAGAGTAACTTTGCACCTGCGCCAGATATCGCTCAAGACAAGAGGAGAGATGAAGAGAGCAAGGGAAGCGAAGGTGTTGAAGCGGGAAGTGGTGAGACGACCGAGCGGGAGAGCCTGGACAGGGCGAGGAGTAAAGATGAGTAGAGTTCTCATCGTGTTTCCAATTTCTTTTCATCTGGGCTTAGCGAGCACATATACCTTTTAATTTCAACCTTTCACCCTAATCAAATGTTTGAAGAGCTAGAACAATGTCCATGATTAGGAATACACGACGCAGGCAACGGGTATAGCTTTCCTGCATTCAATGAATAACAGACATGGTATCAATTCCTTTCCTCTATCCACTACACATCTATGGCAGTACATACCCACCGTCAATAATACAATCGCTTCCTGTCATATAACTCGACGCATCACTACCCAAGTACAAAAACAACCCCTTAATCTCCTTAACATTACCCTGCCTCCCCAGCGGAATCATCCTCAACCCCTCATTAATAACCTGCGGCCCAGCCCCCATCTTCGTATCAAAGAACCCCGGGCTCACAATATTGACCCTCGCAAACTCCCTCCACTCCCTCGCCAGCGACTTGCCCAAATGCGAGATAAACGCCTTGGTGCCGTTGTAGATGGGTTGGTCGATGGGGACATTGACAATGTGCGCGGAGATGGAGCTGGTGAGGATCAAGTTGCCAAATCCCTGCTTCTTGAATACCTCGCCGGCGTACTTGGCGCAGAAAACGGGGCCGTCGACGTTGACTTTCATGAGGTTGTGGTAGCTATCGAGGGTTTGGTCCAGGAGCGGCTTGCTGTCTCCTGTGCCGGCGTTGGCGACGAAGACGTCGATGCGGCCGAAATCCTCAACGACTTGTTGCACGGCTTTTTGGACTGCCTCGGCGTTGATTTGGTTCACGCTGTACGCTTTGGTCTTTACGTTGTGTGTCTTTGCGAGGTGCTCCGCGCGGGTTATGGCCGCGCTGTTGGAGTTGTACCACAGGGCTACGTTGCCGCCTGCTTCGGCCATGGCGTCGGCTACGGCTCCACCGATTCCTTCGGCTGCGCCGTTGACGACGATGACTTTGCCTTTCATGCTGAATTGTTGCATGACGTTTGTGGGTGTGTCCGGCACGGGCTTGGGGAAGCCGGCGCGTGGCGCCTGGCATTCTTCGACGGACATGGACATTTTGGCGGTTTATGAAGAGGCTCTCTGCTGTGGAAGCTCGTAGAGTATATACAAAGTAGAAGAAGAAAGGTAGGTAGCTTGTAGTCTGTATAGTAAGAAGTCGGAGTCGGAGGTCGACACTTATGTATCTAGACGCGTGAGACTGGGCGGAGGAAGGTCTGCCGAGTGAGGCTCAAAGGCCGCGACTTCTGACGCTGCAGCTTTTACCCCGCCGAGCAAAACATGGGATGGCATTGCGTCACGGGGTGGTGTTGCGGGGCAAATCTGGAGGACTGTCGTCCGGATGGGGCGGGATGGTTCCTGAATTGGTATGGTGCCCGTTGCGCTCGGCTTACCTTCCTTCTGAACAAGCGGCTCGTACCGTGGTCTTCTACCGACTGCGTTGTTCTTTTGTGACTTCCTTCCACGATACTTTGCGAGGTTTTGAGTGCGCTTTGGCTCGGCTGGAATCTCGGAGGTGTCTTTAGGTGCAGAAGGTCAGGCAGACAAACATGAGTTCATCGCCTCTCGTCAACTCTTTCCCTGGATGTTGCATCACGGCAGCCATGGCGCGTCCTTTGCGGCAACCGGATTCCAGTCTTCGCACGGCAGTCTACTTCTGTACGGTACGAAAAATCAGTGTTGCGCATCGTGCTAGACAAAGTTATCCGGCGTATGAGGAGAGCGTCGATATTTACGTAGCGAAGCCATCTGTACGCCTCGCACACGACGATGAGGTAGCAGTCCATTTCACTCGACACCTGAAGACAATATGCGGTGACTCCCTCAGCCAAATATGTTCAGTATGAGGCGACGTGGGAGGAGGAAGCTTGCAGTCAAGGCAGTCCCGTTCATCGAGCCTCTAGGCCAATCGTTATGGTCCACGAGAATAGTCGACACAGCTCGTGCGCATGAGGTAGCTTATATCTTGTTGCGGTAGGTCCAGGAGAAAATGCTCAGACGTACCTTCCTTCACTCTCCAGAAGCACAATGAGCCTTCTGGGCTTAGCGTGCACGGTCTCCCGCGAGATGGATCCCCTCTGCCCAGGTGCCAGGCACCCGCACAACAACTCTACGTCGGACTTGAACACCAACACCACCCGTCAACGCAAGAGTCCGCAAAAATGTATTGCAGGTTTCTGGATCTTCCATCAGGTACGCAATCTCAGTCTTTTGCTTTGTGCACTTCACCTGCACATCAGACAGCGCTGACTTCATGCAGAGCTGCGCAACCGCATCTACGAGACCGTTGCGGCAGGCAACGACGAGCCGCTGGCTATATCCAAACTATGTTCTGGAGAAGGCGGCAACTATGCGGGCCTTACGAGAGCTTGTGCTCAGATCCGAGCTGAATATCGACCAATTCAGCGTCGCAAGGCCAAACTTTCCCTGGATTTTGCAGACCTTGATGAGTTTACTGGAACCTTTCTCACTTCAGCCGCGGACACGATGATTCTTCCTCTTGAGCTTCACGTCCGGGTATCTCTCAGCGAGTCAGGATGGACTCTGAATTTCGACTCACTATCAGTTCTCAAAGTCAAAGCCGAGAACCCCCGCTTAGACATCAGGATCGTGCCCACTACTATCCCAGAGGGGTGGCGATCTAACCATGGTGGCCAGCATGATGCGGCTGATCTAGCGACAATTGCCTCGATGCAAGCACAGGACCTGAATTCGCTGCTCCTTCACTCAAACAAGGACTGGCATGCGTGTATCAACAGCGGCTTCATTGGCCAAGTCTACATAGAGATGGAAATCGGGTTGACACGGGTTCAGATCGTCTTCATAGGTTTGCTTGATTACAGAGACTGGCCAAGAACACAGAGAGGCTTCGAGGAGTGGCGTATCTCTCATGGCCTGCAGACTCCGGCATCGCTTAGTCACAGCATCGACTTTACCTTTCTTCACTACGGGTGATAGTGCTAGAGCTTCCACTGAAGGCTACTTCCCAGACGTAAATGGTACGCAGAGAGATACAGAATGCGATTATCTATCACTCACTACGTAATAAGTAAGCTGTCAGTGACTCACCGCTCTCTATAGGTCATAGCGCTACTGCCTGGGCTCACGTGCGGGTAAACTAATTCCTGACCTCGCTTACAATGAGTCGCTACCTTCGCTATCAAACTCTCGATAAGCCACCACGTTTACATCTGAGTCTCCGTCAAATACTACCGTCGTCTAAGTTACCCATTCGCTTCAAGAGTACCAAAGTCATCATGGCCTTTCGCTTCCTCGACCTCAGCTCGGGTATGCTACTTCCCTCATCCTGGATCGCGCGAGAGGAGCTACTAACATTGTTTAGAGTTGCGCAATATGGTGTACCACTTCGCATCAATCAACGACGCACACGTTCCAATCCGACACGATTCCTCTCTTCAGTCTGGCACCTACGCGGGTCTCACCAGAGTCTGTGTCCAGATCCGCCAAGAGTACCGCCCGATCCAACGTCGCAAGGCTGAGATTTGGCTGAACCTTGCGAATATTGGCTATTATGCTCAGGCATTTCTGACGACAGCCGAAGACTCCATGTCACTCCCTCACAAAATACGCGTCGAGACAAAATTCGCGAATTTCTCAGCTTTCGGCTCTCACTTCAGCATCTTCTCGGTCCTCAAGCTCAAGGCTACCCACCCTGACCTGGACTGCGAGATGGTGCCCGGCATGTCCAATCGGACTTTGAACGAAGTTCGTGGTCTCAACGCACTTGCTTGCCATGCGAACGAAAAGTGGCGCGAGGACATTAGCAACGGGACTATTGGAGATGTCCGGATCAGATCAAGCGCATCATTCGTTGAGACTACATGTCTTTGTATCAACTTCACGGGTGCCCACGCCCCCAAGAACTACGATAGAGCGATCAGCGCGCCTGATGCGTGGAGTAGCGCTCGCGGTCTTGACGTTGCGCTATCACACGGTCATCATGTTGCGCTGTACTTCTCTCCCATGTTCACTTGAGCGAGGTTGAGGAATCTATCGAATCAAGTTGTCAAGTGTATCGCCTGATGAGCATGCGTCACCGAGTATGTAGTGTGAGAAGAATTGAATGAAAAGTCGATCCAATCACCTAGTTGCCTGGCCATTTCATGCTCCAAAAGATTTCTTTCATCTCTCAGAGGCTATGAGTGGGTCGGCGCTCACTGTACGCCGGCTCGTAGCCTGATAGAGCTCGCGTAGTCAATCATCTTTCGTGAGCGCTCCTCCCCGCTCACTTGCCACATTGCGGTGCGCAAGCTCTTGTGCTAATGACACACTTTGGTCCAGGAAAACGAATTGACTGGGTGTGATATAGATTTCGGAAGTTATGATTCGCTAGTCTGCTCCGCACCACAGTACCATAGGACGAATTGGATGAACCAGGTTTTTGCATCGCACTTAGATCTGAGTCAGAAGCAAAGATATATAACATGGTCGCACCGCCCACATAGCGATACCTCTGTATACCGATTTCGATCCGCGAACACGCTCACTCCACAACTACTATCAAAGAGACTTGCAATCTAGTCCACAACCCACAGCACAGTAACGATGACTTTCCGCTTCCTCGATCTTATACCGGGTACGACATTCTCTCCTTCTCCTTTGCAAGACGTAAAACTGACGATAGACAGAACTGCGCAATCGAGTGTACCACTTTGCTTCCTTGTCTGAAGAACAAATCATCTCAAGCATGAGATACGAGCCTGATACCTCTCTTCAGGGCATCTACGCTAGCCTCACAAAAGTTTGCCGGCAAATCAGAGCTGAATACCTGCCCATCCAGCGCCGTGAAGCGGTAGTCGCGTTCCGCTGGGACAAAATCGATTTCATGCAGGATTGGTTCAATACATTCCACCCAGCCGGACCGAATATGAGCGGTGGTCCTCGCGTCGTGCGACTTCTATTGGGCAAGGAAGAGGAAGTTACATGGATGAGGCCACGGGGCCACGTTTGTGTCTCTCAGAAATCTACATGCTTGGCAATGATTGAAGATCTGGACGAACTATTAATGTTTCGCGCGCATTGGACATCGATTCGCTTTGAGGCTGCCCTGGAAGCTGCCTACCATCCATGCGATGAGTCCGATCTCGAACTCAGGAGCCTGGCAGAGGAATTTTGCCACAAGCTGTGTCTTCTTCTCCAATATGACGACCCCACCTGGCTCACAGCTATACGCGAAAACATATTTGACGGCATTAAAATCGAGCACTATGATGTGTATGCCCCCCCAGTCATAGCTGTAGAGGTTGGACCACACGGAAAATATACGCCATACTACACTACCCAGCGGATTCTTCCCCTTAAAAAAGCCTTGGAGGCCCATTGCGGCATGCGAGTTGAAGTTTGGGATTCTACGATGGGCTACGCGTAAATAGCCTACTGTCAATGAGCGTGGCTTCACTGCAGACGGAGGGGCGAGCGATTCTAAGAACGTAAACATGGTCGAAAATCACATCATGGGGGAGCAGAATTTGTGTCGTACTGTACATTGGTGTCTCTGGGAGTTAGGGTATGGCTGTGTTAAAAGTCCACAACAATTTCAACAAAGTTTACTCGTTGATTAGGTATACTGGATGCCGCGATTACATTCGCGAAGATGATGACGTCATGGTCCAGGCAGCTCTCTGCAGGGTCTGCTCCTTCTACCACGACCTTCGGGTCTTTCCTCGTTGAATGCGTCTCCTGATGTGAAATCTGATCTCCCTTCAGATAGATCAGGCTGCAGTTTCGATTTCTGCCAGGCCCTACCGCTCCCGCTACCGTCTTGCATATAAGAAGGCGCTTGTTCGTACTCGAGTTTGTTCTTACCACAGCCACCACAGCGTCGTTTGGTACTCAGTACCCTTATCTATTACTACTTATTGCGTTGTCCCCGTGTCTTACATCGCAACTACCCCAGCAGCCACTTGTTTGCAGAAGGGACTTTCTATCTACTCCAGGCTCCCACGTACCTCACCTGCCTCTATCATACAACCACTACGATAAGCAAGAGCGATCACGCTGAAGCAAAATCACGACGCATTTCAACACAATAGCACGTTTGAATACCTTACAATGGCACGTTCTTGTTCTTGGTCACGAGCCCGATACCGGAGGTAATAGTTGGAGGGAATTGCTCTCTGCACAATCGCAACCACCTTCAAGGGCAGCTCGCTTTCTTTTTCAGGGTCTGAGCCTGGGTACTCTGAATTGATGACCTGTCGCCGTGACTCCAACTGGCACTGCAATGCTGCCCTCCTTCGCAGGTACAATAGGAAAGACCTACCCACAACCACGCGATTGAATCACGCGCTCCTTCCACGTTCTTGGATTATTGGTACGATGACATCGTATCCAATATTCCCTGCTTCCAAACTCCATCATACCAACATCAAACACGATTATAAAAATGAACTGCCAAGCATCCCGCTCTCTTACCTGAGGCCTGGTCTCAAGGTGACTGCCGATTCAGGCAATTTCCTCAGTCACCGTCAGAGACACTGGTGGCGATTATCGTTGGCATTTCCCCGCTCACCTTTACTTTGCAAGAGATAAAAGAATCTCCATGGTCTACGCTCCATTACTTCTACATCCCGCAATTATCTTGAATATCTGATTATCACTATTTCCCACGCTATCAGCAGCCTCTCTCAAACCCAGCAACAAGCCGGAAGTACAAGACCTCATGGCGTAAGTCTCCTTTCTTCACACGTAGAGCTCATGATTTCCCCACGAAGCTCTCAGTATTGGTTTGATGGACTCTGCTAATTTAGACAGCCCTACTCGCCCGAGCACCCCACCTCCTTCCCGTTCTTCTCCCAGGAAGTTTGGTCATCCGCCAGTCGTTCCTGCCCCTTCTACACCAACTTCACGCCGAAATGGCTTCATTGGCGGTTCTAACGTCATCATGGGCTCGGAGCATGCGACTGTGCCGCCCTCCCCTGGACTGCCTGTACCTGGCTTCGCGGCACTCACCATGAGTCCTGTTCCTGCCCAAGCCCTGCCCATCCGCCAGAGCAAGCGCAAGCGTGGAGGTTACGCGCGCACTGATGCCGGTGTCAAGAAGAAGACCAAGAAAAAGCCAGATGGCACCATGCCTAAGTTGGTCGATGTTGCTCTCAAAGAGAGGGCCGGAACCAGCGACCCCGCTCTGCAGAAGCCGTTCCGCTTCATGGACCTCCCCGGAGGTAAGTCACGCGATTCTGACCGTTTTGACACAAGCTGACTGTTGATAGAACTCAGGAACCAGATCTACATGCACACCCATGGACGTCCCAAGCAGGCTCTCCTCGTTTACCGCCCGCGCCTCGCCTCTCTGCGTCCCCGCACTCGTCTCGATCGCGGCCGTACTTTGGCGTCTGACATCGTCGACCAGGACCAGGAAAAGAAGATCTCAGGCGGCAACAACAAGTCTCGTCTTTCGACTAAGCCCAAGCCCAAGACAGAACCCCGAGAGACTAACCGTCCCTTCTGGGGCCTTACCCAGGTGTGCCGTCAACTCAGGGCTGAGTACCGTCCTATCTACATGGCCAAGCAGGAGATCGGCATGGACCTCACCGAGATCGTGGACTACCTCAAGACTTTCTATCCGACCGCCACAGATGTCGTCTCCAACCTCGGTCCTCCAGGAGAGCGCAGCGAGGACGCGCCTTTTGTCGGCAACCTAACCATCGCGGTTGGAGACAAGCCCAATGAGCTGGAGCGTGCTGGTGATGGCATCGAGGTCTTTACTCTTCTTGACATCTGGGCCAACAGCCTCAAGATTGAAGCTGGGTTCGGTCGCTACCTCAAGGCCAACTACGTTGCCGAGACTGATGGTGAAGCCAAGGACCTGTGAGTTTCCCTACCTCTTTCATCACATGATCTATTCACTGACCATCTTACAGCTACCGCCTGTTCGGCCGTCGCGTCCTTCAAAACCGTCAATGCTCTAGCATGAATGGAAAGTGGCGCTCTATCCTTCGTAGCCGTTCACTGGCGTCGGTTCGTATTCATCGCAAGCCCGCCCAGCGTGACACTGCTCCAATTCCCGCAGCTCCTGCTATGGTAGCTCTGGCAGCAACTCTTGGGGTAGTAATCCCTGCTACCCCTGCCGTCACCAAGCCCTACCTGCACATCATCTTCAAGAAGGAGTCTGCTGAGCCTTGGATGACCCAGTTTGAGTCGGTCGTTCCCACTGGTTGGTTGTCCAAGCACGGCTTTGGCGGCATGGAGCACTTCGAAGTCAAGGTCGGCGTCGACAAAGACGACTCCAACTAGCTGCCCGTTCAGAGCTGTCATCGCTGGTGCGACGTTAACGTTCCCAAAAGTTGCCATCTTGAATGGACAGCAGCGCATGCGAATAGTTCTTGGGCGTTGGACAGATATCTCTACCGGGGTGTTCGTTGACATGCTCAAGATTGGTAACATTTACGAGGTTTTACATATGAAGGTATATCAACTTGATGATCGAAAGGACACGTTGGCAACACAGCTTGCACGTCGCACCTTGGATATCATCTATCTAGCAGGAATCAATAATTCCATTCAGGACACCCTGGTTCCCTTCTGCATTGTTGTGACGACTGATACCGGACCACATGCTCAAACAGGATGTCAAAATGAAGAGGCTGATGTAGTTTGTTTCTAAGAAAAGAAAACCCCCGCCCATTTGCTTACCTCGGCCAATCAGATCGACATGTTCTCCACAGAGATACACGCGTTTTTCCGAGTGTCCACACCGCGATGGGACTGCAAGAAACACAATTATCGCCGAAGCATGTCTATAATCGTGCGCATAACGTCTTTTCCAAGGACGCTGGAAGCTCTGCGCCTGCGCCCGCACGTGCGCGACGTCATGCCCCACTGCCAGCTGCCGCGCCAAACTTCGCTCGCGGCTCCGCCCCGGTGCATCGCGAGCCAACTGCATCGCACCGGCTATCTCGTTCAACGAGCCGCGGCCTAAAATCCACCTATTTCCAGGCGGAGGACGTTCCTTCTTCCCCCCTGAAGTCGCGATCCTGATGCGCAGCCCCCTGCATTCGCTAATGAGACAGGTACCGTTTGATGGGTCGCAACAACATGCGCGTCCTGTCGTGTTGAGCAGGCTGGAGCCCCTCGTTCGCTGCGATGCTTTTCCCGCGAGCCAGGGAGCTAGCATGCGATGAGACAATTGACATCCATTGACATCTAGACTTCCCGTCTTCCGCTGGTACAGAACCCCCAAGCGCACGCGTATCCCAGTAAAGCCGTGGTACTGTGAGGTCATCGACAGGGATGACGGCCAGCCGCAACCTCATACACTACCATAGCTCACCAGCCCCTCCCCGGTCACTTGGTGTTTTATTTGTTCTTGGGCTTTCAATCAAGAGATTGTGTCGTCCATATGTCTCTTTATGTCGTTTAGGTGTCACTTGGCCAACAACTTCGACGATACTTTCTGCTGCCACTGTACCTCCGAATCTGAATCGCCGTCCCATCCAGACATGTCGCGTCCACAGAGCATGCCTGATTTCGCCGCGCTCATGGAATCTTCCATGTCGCAGGCTGTCTTTGAGTCTTCCAGTTCCAACTTCGAGAAGCGCATACACAGTCACAGTCGACGACAGACATCACCGGAGCGAAAGCCTCAGAACATGAGGAAGAAGCCGAGCATCTCGCTCGCTGCTGGACTGATGATGAACACCGACACCCCACCAGCGACTGGATCACTATCGCCGCGCAAACGAAGCCAGAGCCGACCGGCCCAGGAGAAGAGGGTTGAGATGGAAGAGGGTGGGAATCTGTTCTATGCCTATGCGCAGAGGGTGAGCGATGCCAATTGCACTGTGTGCCATCGGCCGGCCAACAACGGCGTACTGACTTGTGCTACAGAGCGACTATCCTGCATCTCCTCCGTACATCCTCACCTTCGCCTCGGCCGCCATTTGCACGCAATGGTGGAATCTGGTCCAGCAGGAATATACGTCGTCGTCGCGACCGAGCCCGCAGTATTTCGTGGTCAGGAGCGAAGACATGGAGCTCATAATGGAAGACCCCAGGTTTTCCGATATTCAGAACAAGTGGTTCTACACGTGCCAGGATAGCCCGACATGCCCGCCGATTGTCCTACCCCTACAACATGCGAACGGTGTTCCCGCCGTCGCGCCTCCGCACACATGCGAAGAGAAGGCGAGCACATCGGCTATCGACAGCCTGGCGGCGAGTCTGACCCAGCTGGCAAGTATAGTCGAGAGCAATGCCGAGCAAGTCCACGCGCTATCGGTCGCGCAATCGACGGGTCTACAAGCGATGCAAGAGATCAACGAGTCGAACAGTATCCAGATCAAGGCCATCTCCGAATCCCAAATCAAGCTTCAGGCGCTGGTCGATCAGAACGCGTCACACTACATTGCCCTTTCCAACACATCTTTCCAATCGCACGAGCAGAGCAGGTTGTCGCAAGAACAGACACGGAAATCTCAAGAGCAAACGCGCAAGTCTCAGGAGCAGACCAAGGACATCCTCAAGACGACCGTTTCTCAACTCCAGACTCTATCCAAGAACCAGATCGAGTTGTCACAGACCTGCCAGGGTATGATGCGCAGTATCGAGACGCTCGGCGACTCTGTCACGCAGTTCACTTCCAATGTCATTTCGGATACAGCAAGCAACCAGTCACTGTCCACTAGCTCCTTCAACGCTCTCGCGACCCGCATCAGCCCGCCACCTCGGAAGCTAAACAGGCGGGTGAAAGGCGTTTGGTACGAGTACGACAACGTGGGCTCGGGCTCACCCAGCGGCACCCCCAGGAAGAGAGTAGACTCGATCAATGTGGACACCCCACCGAAGAGCCCGGTTATCTACAAGCACGTTTGACGGTGGTACGGCTGGCTCCGAAGTGTTCGTTTGACACCCCCAACGCAAGAGGAGATTGACGAGGAAGCACGAAATGTACGACGACCTTTGCTTAATACTTAATCATCCTGGTGGATATCGTCGCTTAATGACTCCCTCTCTTACGGTGCTGGAAAGCTCCGTCTGGGCCAGCCGTTTGTGATTTGCATTACATTGGCGTTTGGAGCGAAGATTGTATGATAAGGAAGTGGGTTCTTGATGACAGCGAATCAGCTTTCTATTTCGGAGTATTTGTGTATCTTTTACGAAAAGTATGGGCAGCGCGTCTGGTGCATTTTGGTGCGCTGATTGTTTGTGTTTACGCGACGTCACCGCTAGTCGTGCCTTCCGCAGTCGGCTCTCAATATTCTAGCCGGCTTCACATCGAATCCGCGTTTTCACCGCTTACTGCTATTGCAATCTCTTGTCGTCCAAAAGTCTCTGCTCCTCTGCAAATTTCCCTGCCTTGACACAACCACAACCACTCCGCCTACTTCATCCTACAGAACCTACACCATCACCGAAAGCACATCACCTCCTTCACGATGAAGTTCCTCAACGCCGCTCTGCTACTTGCTCTGAGCATCTGCAACGTCACCAACACTGTTGCGGTGCCCACTGCATCCTCCGATGTTGCCATGTTGACCTCCGACGCCGCAGCGAGACAAGATCCACCTGCTCACGGCATGTGCTACCTCTACCTCAACATCGTCGAGAAGAAGCCCCAGAACCCGCAAGACATCGACACTACCGTCTGGGTTGCCCTTTCAGACGGCCAGAACAAGACGATCGAAGGCATGACGTACGTAAACCACTCTCACCATGACCGACCTGCCAGTCATGACAGAAGTACACACATTGACATCACGCAGTTGGGACGACGGTGAGCCTCTCAAAGGCATGCTCAACGGAAAGTCGATCGACGGCAAGCCACCGGGCCAAGCACTCAAGATCCACGGCCTCTTCAAGCCCACGGACACCTTCAGCCTCAGGTGGATCAACATGACTCCTGGTGCACACTGGGAGTGGTTCAAGTTCCAGTATACTGGCGGTATGGTCGGCACTATCGAGTTCGACGATAGCTTCAAGGGCTGGAAGGATGCTTCGTGCAACCGCACTGAGTGGGTCAACCAGGACCGGGATTATTGGGACAGGTTGTCGACCTGCTACTTCGAGTGCTAAGCATCGTCGGGAAAGATACAAGAAGGATTGATGGTTGGTGTGCGTGGCGTCTGGGGCGATGTATAGATCTATCTGCAGACAAGTACTTTCTCTGCACGTGATCTTCACGTTGCTATCTCGACAAGCTCATGGGTAACATAGAAAGAATCCATCGAATCTCTTTCGATAGCTCCAATATTTGGCATATCGTTGTGCCACACCGTGTTCTGACGTGCTACGAAGACTGAAACGACGTCCGACGTTCCGCCTCACCGCCCAATTTGGACACGGAGGATCCACTCCGCCATGTAGTAATATGCGCCCAATCTAAATTGAGTCACGTCCACGCCTTCTAGAATTAACATGGAATAATCCACCAAAAAGCAGCAGGCGATCGCTAAACAAGCATTCTACTAATCTACGGATACCGGGTCGAACATGGTTACACTGCAGAACTACATGCAGATAGTACTGAGAAAGGACTCGACTATTCCAGTATATAAACCACAACATCGAGCGACGGGAACACGGTCAACAAGATTAAACACAACCAGCTGCTATCCACTGCAGCTCGCTTAGTACTATCATCATGTTCATCTCTGCCATCTCGCTCCTCGGTTTCATCACCTCCGCATCGGCTCACGGCTACCTGAAGTCCATCTCGGTCAATGGCGGAGCCAACTACCTAGCCTGGCAAGTCGGCCAAGACGACTACCTCACTCCCGAACCTGTTCGCTACGCGCGTCGCATCAAAGACAACGGACCGGTTCCTGATTTTACGTCCAAAGACATTACGTGCAATGTGGGAGGTAACCTGCCAGCGAAAGGCGTTATACCGGTTGTGCCGGGGGATAAGGTGTATGTTGTTTCTTTCTCCTGCTCTCCTCCCTAGCATTCTGCGGGATGAAAAGCATCAACACACCATCTCCGACTTCGACACTCACGCTGACATCCACCCAGCAAACTCCAATGGGACCAATGGGGCTCCTCGCACTCCGGCCCAGTAATGAACTACCTCGCCTCCTGCGGCAGCAACTGCACAAACTTCAAAGGTGACACCGGAACCCCCTGGGTCAAATTCGACCAAATGGGCTACGACACCAGCAAATCCCCTCCCTGGGGCTCCGACTACCTCGCCAAGCAAGGCGCCAGCTGGACCGTTACCATACCCGCTGGCCTGAAGCCCGGTGAGTACCTGCTCAGGCACGAGATACTGGGGCTGCATGTTGCGGGGACGAGGATGGGGGCGCAGTTTTATCCGGCGTGTGTGCAGATAAAGGTGGGTGGGAGTGGGGAGAAGAGTCTGCCGGGCGGTGTGGGACTGCCCGGGGCGTATGATCCGGATGATAAGGAGGGGGTGCTTGTGCAGCTTTGGCAGGTGCAGGCGGGGCAGAGGGGGTATACGCCGCCGGGTGGGCCGGTGAAGACGATTTAGGTCGTGAGGGGTAGAGGGTGGGAGGATAGAACTGTGTGGTGTGCCATGGCTGTGAGGAGAGGATGTATATATTAGAGAATAGTAACTTTCATGTCCCCTTCCAAACCTTGCTCCAGCTCTGCCGCTCCTAAGAGCGGGCCGCCAGATCTACAGCCTCACGAACCACTTCTTCGAGTGTCACCTTGGGAAGCCCTAGCTTACCATTCCAGATCTCTTGTTCAGCCTCGAAATCGTAACCAACATCTACATCAGCCCCGAAACTGATTGCCAACAACCGAAACGTTGCATTCAAATCCCCTGCTTCGAATTTCTCTCGAAACTGCTTGATCTCTGTGCCGCTCTCCTTCCCCTCAACGTGGAACTTGGCCTTAGTCTCCCCTTCCAGTGCTTCGACAATCTGCCTGGTGCTGACCGTGAAGTCACATAAGAAGATCTGCTTGTTTGCGGTCAACTCAGGATAAACCAAGACCCTTGCAACTGCAAGGCTGGTGTTCTTACTACTCGTAGCGGCAAAGCGCCTATTCCCAGAATCGTACACCGTCGCCTGCCTCCCCTTCAGATCTATGCCGAGGAAGTTACCAGATTTTGATGGATCGAGTGCCCAGTCCAGCCAACTACCACAACAGATGCTGCTCCACATCATCTTTCCGTGGCTTTCGTCGCATGTCTTGATGAGGTACTCCAGCATTTCTCCCTTGAGGTCGTATGTCGGTACGAGGGCGCGAGCCCGGGGATCTAGATTGTTGGCGCCGAATTCGCTGGGGATGAAGCGTTTTACGCCTGCTGCAAGTGCGGCGTCGATGAGGCGGAATGCTAGACCATCTTTTCCGCCAGCGGTGATTGGGCTGGTGGATAACGCGACTACGACTGCATCTTGATCCTTGAAGGCTTCTGTGAGCTCCTCTGTCGTGAAGGCGTCCGAGATTTTGATGGTGGGGATGTGAGATGGGAACGAGGCTGATGAAGAGGCGCGGCTGACGATGGTTACGTTGAAGGAGGGTTCCGCGAGGAGCGCGTCAAGTATGGGTGCACCAACAGAACCGGATGCTCCTAGGATGATGACGTTCTTTATGAGGCTGGACATGATGACACCCTTCGTCGCGACTTATCTCTCGTGCTGAATGAGATGGAGTTTGGTTGATGATGCGTTGCTCATCAACGAGCGCCTGCTCTTATACTAAACCGTCCATCCACCGCATCGGTGCCCATGGTGCCATGCTCTATAATCGACCTGCGCAACTGGCGACACTTTGAGTGCCGCAAAGGCATCTGATGCATCGGCTGCCGCATGGCAATGATGTTCAATGAGTTACCGGTATGTTTCGGCACGCTCTCTGCGCGATGATAGGTTCTGTAGAGCGATTACATGAAGTTAATAAGCAGCACGTGACTGTGAGAGGCATCTGCGGCATCATGCAATGCGCAGTTCGGCGGTTGCATTTGCCAATGTATAGTAATCGGTTAGGATGGGTAAGCAACTGAGTCTTCACTGCAGCGATCTGTTGAGTTACTCAGCCTGATGCCGGTTGAGGCGATGTGGTGTGTGCCGCTATCGAAACGAGATAACCCAGTCCAGCATTGGTAGGATGTCGCATGCCTTCTGAATGTCAGAAACTGCACATGCATGCCGATCTAGTATCAGTAAGCGTATTCGCCAACTAGAGGGAGACAAGGCATCTGATGCGAACACGCGTTGGTGGGTGTGGGAGGTGAACAAGCCAAGTGCTAGCTGCAGCACTTTTCGTGACACGCGCTAAGATTGCGCGCCTCCATCTAGCAGCTTGCTCCTGCACACTCGACCACCTGCATCATCCAGTACAGTACTGCCGATGCTGCATTACTCCAATCATAGCATGTTGGCTTCACGAAGTCGCGCAGGAGCCAAAATCAGCTGCATGACTGATGTTTCCACCTCGGCTGCTGCCGCCTGCTCCTGATCCGGCGGTTCTTCTGCGCAGTACACCAAAGCCTTGCGCCACAGTCTTACGAGCAACTGTTACAGGAAAGATACCATGAGCAACCTACCTTTCACAGAAGGACGCCCATCAGCGCTTGACTCATTACTAACCACATACTTTGACGAGAATAGTGTGGAAATGAGGATAAAGAGGAAGACACTGGTGCACTGGTTGCGATTTGGACACAGTACACCACTTCTCCGCTTTCTACCATGACGGCAACATCCGAACATCTCGAAGCTTTTGCACCTTTGACATGGGCTACACCGTACCTGACATCTCCCAGCTGGATTGCATGTGACCGCCAGCGAGGCACCGAACCGGGTGAGGATACGGACCGATTTTGTCGCGACACAATGCGCGCGAACAACGGCGTGAGAAACTGGCTCGAGCTGTACGAGAAGCCGGCGCCGGGCGCCAAAGTCACCAAGTCGATATCTCTGATCAGGTATGGAACCGGCTTGAACGGCTTTCCCGGCATCTGCCACGGTGGCGCATTATTGACGCTCATGGACGAAGCAATGCTGCATATCCTGGTTGCCAATACTGTGCTTGAACATGGCCTTGGCTTTATGAAAGTAGGAGAAGACTATTGGAGACTCCAGCTTCATGATGGAAAGTCGGCACAAGAGGTGCTTAAGGGCCGATTAGCCACAGCCACCATGGACGTGAAGCTTCTGGCGCCGGTGTTATGCCCTGGTGTTGTCGGCATTGAAACGATTGTACTTGGGGACACAGGGAACAAAATGCGGATGAAAGCCACGATGAGGGATCGACAGGGCAAGCCGCTACTTACAGTCGAGGGGCTGTGGATCAAGATTCGCGGTGCTGCAAAACTATAACCACAACCACCGCCAGTGTGCGAAGCAAACCACGACAATCGCACACGCTTCTCAGTTCTCCGTCTCACTCTATATTTCCTATCGCAGGCTCGAGTAACCTGCCACCCAACGTCTATCTTCATCGCACGTGCGCAGGGATCCCGGATGATCTCGCATTGATCTCGGGCACGCTAACCCACCCGAGACCTGCGAGCTATTGGTCCTTCCTGCAACGGTAAACCTCCGAAATCAATGCCTGCAACAATATGTGCACTGCGCAGCATGTAAACACACATGCCATCCCTTTGGCCTACCATTCGTTATGACGTCTCAGGTAGCCTAACCTATCCCGCACCACACCTGCGAGTCAACATCAAGGTCGTTGTATACTTAAGAGCAAGCCTACATTGGTAGAAATTTGATCAGACTGCACGATCAAGTTGTCAAGTCCTCAACACAGTTCAAGATGCATTCCATTCTGGCTTCCGTCTACGCTCTCTCTTCCCTGCTTCCCCTCGCCATTGCCCAAACCTCCGGCACGTTCAACACCCTCACATTCAATGTCGCTGGTCTTCCTGCTGCCCTGAACGGTAACGATGTTCCCGGTGATAAGACAACAAACACTGCCCGTATTGGAAAGTTGTTCTCTCAATACGATATCGGTGTCATCAACGTTCAAGAGGACTTCAACTACCATGCCACACTATATGCCAACGACGATCACCCATATAGGACGCCTACCAGCGGAGGAGTGCCATTTGGCAGCGGCTTGAACACTTTGAGCAACTATCCTTACACTGGATTTCAGCGAGTCAAGTGGAACACGTGCAGTACTTTCGAGTAAGTCAAGCTCAAACGATGGCACAAACACATTGCATAGTACGACACTGACATAACACTCTGTCAACAGTAGTGCGGACTGCCTCACACCCAAGGGCTTCACTTTCATGCGTGTCAAGATTGCCGAAGGCGCAGTAGTCGACATGTACAACCTACACGCCGATGCCGGGTAAGTCACCCTACTTCCTTCAACCCTATGACAACCCACTAACCCTCCATAGCACCACAGCCGCCGACAACAAGGCCCGCGCAGCCAACCTGCGCCAAGTCTCCGACTACATCAAGGCCAACTCCGCCGGCAACGCCGTCGTCGTCTTCGGCGACTCAAACTCGCGTTACACACGCACCGACGACATCCCCGACGTTTTCAAGACCGAAAACGGCATGACGGATGTCTGGCTCGAGCTCGTCAAGAACGGTGTCCCACCTGCCAAGGGTGCCGACGCGCTTCTCTGCTCGAACCCCTCTACGACCAACGAGTGCGAGATCGTCGACAAGACCTGGTACCGCGGCTCTGACGCTGTAACGCTCAAGGCCACGAAGTTCGACTACGCAGGCCACATGTTCCTCCAGGAGAACGGCGACTTGTTGAGCGACCACAACGGTGTGCTCGTAGACTTTTCTTGGAGCCTGAATGCCCGCCGAAGCGTGTCTGATGTGTTTGGCGGTGAAGAAGGTACGTGGTACAATGATCTGAGTGCCATCGCCAGTCTCGCCAGCCCGAAGGTGTCTTCCATCACACTCCGTGGCAAGGAGCGCGTTGATGCTGTTTCCGTTAGCTTGGCTTCTGGACAGACGCTTTCGCATGGTGGGACTGGTGGCGAGGCGACTACGCTCACTTTGGCTGCGGATGAGACGCTGACTTCTGCGCAGCTGTGTCAGGGTCAGAAGAACGGTAAGACGAGGATCTTCTATGCGCTGTTTACGACTAGTGCTGGGAAGACGGTTTCTACTGGTGTCAAGACGGATGACTGTGTTACGAGGACTGCGGGGACTGGTCGTGGTATTGTTGGTTTCCTTGGTCGTTCGGGCGATGAGGTTGACCAGTTGGGATTCATCTACTCGAGCGCTTAAGAATGTTTGATGTACGTGGCCCTTAGTTGGATCAATGGAATGTCTCATGCCCCTACAATTAATTTCGATCAACAATAACTGAAAAGTTAAATGCCTGAGTGAGCATGTGTAGTTTGCTTTAGGAAGCGGGTAGATGCTGACTGCAAGCACATGTGAACTGCACTCGCGATGTCCATGTTGTTACATTGAGCTGTTCACGTATCCTACATATCGATAAAGCAAATCCGCCTCCCCAAAATAGTGTGTATCAAAGGAAATAACAAGAAAGAAACCGTAGCTGAGAACAAATCATCCTCTCATCCTCCCA